CCTCCTTTTTTTCCTTCTCCTCCTTCTCCTCCTTTTCCTCCTTCTTTTCCTTTTCCTTCTCCTCCTTCTTCTCCTTCTTTTCCTTCGCTTCCTTTTCCTCCTCCTCCTTCTCCTCCTCTTACTTCGCTTCCTTTTGCTTCGTCCTCCTTTCCTCCTCCTCGTTTTTTTCGTCGTCTTTATTGGCCTCGTCGTCCTTGCTTAACTGCGACCCGCGATCTACAATATTCTTTGCCGGACCTTAACTACAACTATCCACACCCAGTATTCCCTGCCGGATCTTAACTACGACCATTCTCGCCTAGTGTTCCCTGCCGGATCTTAACCACGACCATCTACGCCTAGTGTTTCCTGCCGGACCTTAACTACGACCATCCTCGCCTAGTGTTCCCTGCCGGACCTCAACCACGACCATCCACGCCAAGTATTCCCTACCGGACCTCATGTAGGAAGATATGGAACAAAGAATGTGCAGAAAAAAATTAGAAAGAATATTAGAAAGAATGTCAGAAGATATGCCAAAAGATATGCCAGATAGAATGCTAGATCATATGCCAGAAGATATGCCAGATAGAATGCCAGATAGAATGCTAGAAGATTTGCCAGATAGAATGCCAGAAAATATGCCAGAAGATATGCTAGATAGATATGCCAGAAGATATGCCAGAAAATATGCCAGAAGATATGTCAGAATATATGCCAGAAGATATGTCAGATAGAATGCCAGATAGAATGTCAGAAGATATGTCAGATAGAATGCCAGAAGATTTGCCAGTAAGAAAATGTATAAATGTTATGGTGGGGATCATACGAAATAAAGTAATTTTATTTTATTTTTATTTTTTGTAATTTTGATAATATTTTTATTATAATTATTATTTTTATTATTTATTTTATTAGGGTCTAATATTTTGTGATATTATAAGATTTAATTTCAAAAATATAAATTAAATTTAGGAATATATTATTTCAAAAATATAATATTATATTTTTTTAGATATCTTTAAATCTTTAAATTTCAGAGGGATTTACCC